TAAAATTCCCCCGAGGCTGGCGCCATTCTCCATGATTTCCATCTCCGAGTTTTACGTGACGTGGGGGAGGAAAAAATGAATACACGGGGGATTTTTGGGGCATAATTTTTCTGGGGAATTTTCGCGACAATAGTCGGCTGATTTTCTCGCGCAATCAGGTTTTTGGTGAATTGAAGAAAGGGATAATAAGAACAATGATGATGATAACATTCAACTGAGTTGAAAATCTGACAAAATTAGTTGAAAAGAAATCTTATTCAATTCAACAAAATGAAGGAAACAATGAATTATACACGATAGAAGGAAATGATGTGCAAAATAGCTTGTTAATTATCATGGAATAATTGAATTTAACTTTACACTTTCGTCGGTGCCCTCAGAATGCCGGAAATGTCGGCCAAAAATTCAGCCCACTGCGTCATAATTGTGACAAATACCCCAAACGCCGACTCCATAGATACCACTCAGCAAATTTATCGCAATCCAAAAGTTGCGTATCTGTGTTCTCATCCCACAGCTTCAGGCGACAACGTGCCCTGGATAAGGTTCTTATAATCCCGTAGAATCCACCCTAACAGTGTTTCTTCGGGGATCTAGGCGTCATCGAGAGACTTCACCCCCTCAACAAGAAAGAAAAAAAAATATTCCGAGTGTCGATGGGGTGATAGGAGGGAGCGACACTGAGTTAAAATGGGGAAGTGAGGGAGCGCAGCGAAGTGAGGTGTAAGAGAGTTTGGCGAAAGTTTTGCGCGTTGTCACTACGGAACTTGCAGGGCTTCAGCGACAATGCCAATCTCCTTCATTTTTTTTTCATCCACTGGTGAAGAAAAAAAATAACCTCGAGAGGGGGGAAAAAGAGATTGAAGAGATATTTTGTATTTAACGATAGTTGGCAGGAGTTTTCCAGTTTCTATCTTCAACTGTATATCCTATTACTTAGGTCGGTGATTAAAGAGCTCGGGTTTTATCAAAGAAGCCGGGCTGGAGGGGGTGGGGAGACGCTATTGGAAGATTTATAATGGGGAAATGGTATCCGGACGATTAAACTGGGGATATCTGGCTTTCAGTTTTCGCTTTCACGATTTGAGACGGTCTCGCTTTCGTGACGGTCAGTTGCTGGAAGATATTGGCTCCAGAGGCAATGGCAGAATCTCTGATATAGTGGGTTTTGGGATCGTGCAATATGGAGAATGCGGGAATTATATATGTCGGGGGTTTTACGCGATTGAAATGTATGTTGTGGAATTTTCGTGGAAAAAATGGGTTGGAGTTGGGATTTTACTGGAAATTTAATGAAATTATAATTTTTTGAGCAGCAGCTAGACCGGAATTTCCGAACTTTCTTAAATTTATAATCAAAACATGAATATTTAGTGCCAAATATTTTGGAATTTGGTAGTAATTGATAATTTAAAAATATATTTACCTAAAAATTTATGGTTTTTATTCCTTTTCATGGAAATATTGAACAGAAATTGACCTGAAGTTGAATTTGCAATCAAAACATGAACATTTATTACCAAATTATGTTAAATTTGAAAATAATTAATGATCTAAGAATTCACTTGCCTAAAAATCCTTGATTTCAATTACCTTTCGTGAAATAATTCAATCGAAATTGATTTTCCATTAATTATTTTAATCAAATTATCAATTTGTAAATATTAAATATTTAAATTCCAGGACAATCGTCTCACAATAAAAATTAACAATTTTAACACTGCGAATGAATGGAAAAGGGAAGCAGTTCGAGTATCATCAGACATTTTAAGTAGAAAAAGACCCTCAGACAGTTTCTGGGAGATGAGCTGTCGGCGCTGGCAGTAAACAGTGTGTTACGCCCGTCAAGGTCGATGAAGCAGGAGACTGAGGGGTACGCAAGGCACGCGGTATGATAAATATCATGCTTTAATCCACTCACTCGGTTCTCCTTGTGCAAGCTACTTTACTACGGTTGAGGGAGGAGAGAAGGGGCTCGTTATCTCGACGATACGGGACGTTAAAGGCCCATCCGGAGTGACCCCCGGTGAATTCACGTCCCCGGGAATTTTTTTTCTTTATGCTCTACACGGAACGAGACCGCCCACCGCTCGGGACATTTTTTACCACGAAATTCCAGAAATATGAAGTTCCAATCGCCTTTATTGTCGGCAAAAATTGAATTTCATGGACTGCTGACTAGTAATTTTAGATGACGAAGTGACATTGAATTGTATTCAGGGGGAAAAATGATTAAATTCCAGCCCGCACGAAAAATTTATTTTTCGAAAAATACATAAACCATATATTTTATATATTTTTCATTTCATTTTTTTTATTTTGTATATTTTTTTATATATTCTTCGTAAATTTGAGAATATATGGAATTGGCCCATGTTATATATATTTCTTATGGGGGAGATTGCAATGAAGAAATAATGAAATTTCACGTTTTCTTCGATGCACTGGAATTTTCAGTTAAAATAGACTTTAAAAAATTTTTAACTGTAATTTCTCGTACGATTCTGGGATAAATTCATCACTTTTGTCTTCCACTAAAATTTTAAGGGATTTTGTCACTGAAAATCCAACATTTTATGAGATAAATCAGGGGCAAATGTAAATTTGAATTCAATTATTGCATAAAAATTTATAGTAATCGAAAAAATTCAGATAAAAAATTCAGATTCTTGAATTTCCAATTAATTGAAAACTTAGTATAATTTAACTCCGAATTGTGCTTAAAATTGGCTCCTAAAATGTGAATTTTCACTGATGAAATTCCTCAAAATTTCAATGAAATTAAAATGTGACCAAAATTCTCAAAAAATTCACCACCAATTTCCGCCGAAAAAAAATTTCAAGCGTAAACCGTAAAAAATCTCCACGAGTGCGCCAATTCTGTCCATCCAATGGAGTAAAAACGACCTCAGACCCGAAATGAATGAAATTACAACCAGAAGAATCTCCAATAGAATAAAAATTCTCATCTCCATTATCGTAAAAATGAAAATGTTATTGAAAAAATTCCGAGGCACTGCCACTCCCTCTCGCCTCGAGCACCCCCTGAAGCTGCGGTCCATCCCCTCCCGCATATTACCATGTCGAGTCGATATCGATGTAAGGGAGAGTGGAAGAGTGATTTATTCGAACAAGACGGAACAACCCGCTGCGGCGAAAATAAGGGGAGAAAGTGGAGAGGAAGTCGAAGTGGGAGGAGGCGGTCGCCACGCAGTCATTCGTATCCATGCACTTCTCTCACTGCTCGCATTTATTTCGAACCTTTTACCCACTGTCCCCCCGAACAAATACCCTTTTTCATTCGTGAATTTATGCACTGGAATTGTATGACAACGGATGGAACGCTAAATTGTGGGAAAATGTCGCCTCGTGAATGTCACAAATGGCTATTATGTCGTTTTATACGGTTTTGTGGTTTAATGGTGAAGTAGATGGAGTAACCTTGAAATGTTTGAGGGGTGAATAATGCACTAAAGCACTATAAATAAACTCTAGTTGAGTTATTTAATAAATGAGGAAGAGTAAATCCAAAATTTCCGGAAAATTCACTTAATATTGATATTTTTTCATACGATCTATGGATTTTGCAATTTATGTAAATGAATAATTCGCGCAAAAAAATCGAAAATGGCAATTATTGATAATTTTTCATGAGAATGGCTTCAAGACATCTAAATTTGACAAATTAGATGTAAAAATCGATTTAAAAAAGCAACGAAAGTGTTTTAATTCCGAACACTAATTTTTCTACTTCCGAATTCACTTCGGATTTTAATCTTAAAAATTGGAGTCATGTTCGACCACTTTAAACGTTCAAATACAAGGGATTGGCGCAAATCCCCATGACAGCTCTTCCCCCTAGATTTGACACCCGACGCATGAGCAAATACTTGAGGGATAAACTCATGAATTGATGGGCACGTATCATATCACGTGATACGCTACAAGTACTGCATATTTGCACTGTATTTGGTGGAGCATCAGCGAGACTGACTCAGTGTATATTTCCCAGCCTCACTTAACTGCTATTCCGAAATTCCCATGGGTGAGCTCTTTCACGTTACTGCGATGCCAAGTTCGATATTGTTGGGTTGGAATGG